CGTACCCCTATGCCTCATTTGTGTAATAATTGACGTCGTCACAGTGATTAACCATGTCAGCATTGTTAGTTGTAACTTTCGTGTCCCTTAGCATATAACCTCAGAAAGTACTCTACTCAGCGCATTAATGGATTCCTGAATAACTCCAGCCTGATCTTGAACTCTGTTGTTCCTCATTGTATTAGATCCATTGGGTATTGTAAGTTCAGACAAGTCAAAGATGAAGCTTCACAGTGTGATCACATATATGTTTGATAGGTAATTTTATGGTCAGTTTATGGTAGCACATCTTAGAGTAATTGATGAAGTTCATCAAGGGTTTAGTGTGAGTGTTCGCCTAGAGATTTAGAGTTTGGAGGGTGAGCAGGTAATTCTCAAAATTTTCCCCTGTAGATGTTATGAGAATTGAAAATTAAGGGTAAGTAAGCGCACTTCCCATTAGGTCGCACTAGGAGTATGATGTTTCCCCATAGTTATTCGTCGTGAATCTGTGTTTTCAATGCCTATGTCTAAGAAGGCAGGTGGAGATAAATTGTGTATCATTCAGGTGGAAATTATTGAAGGTGAAGTTAATGGATAGTTAGCTTATGCGAGATATCTACTTGTCATCCTTGTTAGGTAAGTTTAGGGGTCGAAATTGCTCCTGTGAATGTGTTCCGGCGAAGTCTGTAGATATAAGAGGACATATTGAAGGCCGAGAGTGTTGTGGAAATAAAATATTTTCTCTTGATTGCATAGCAGTTGGTTTTGATTTGAAAGGTACCTTCTAGGTGTTATGATTTAAAAATGTGCAGTCCATGCCCAGGTATCATCGTGATAAAGTAGTGTTTGTAATGCTGAGGTTCTTGTCATTGATATATACATTATGGTGCTTTGTCGAGTTGTGGATGTGTTTTTAGGATGGTTTTGGTGGTTCTCTGGTAGGTGGATAGGCCTAGTTACAAAGGAGACTCTGCCGAAATTTTTGAATAATTTAGGAGTTAGTCAAAATTTAGGGTCTTGAGGTAGGTGAGAAGAGATTTATTTTATTAAGCGTTTAAGTCGGACTCTACTCCTCATTCGAGGACGAATGATCCTAAGGGGGGAGAATGTAAGGCCCCGGAAAATTTCGCTAAGTAACCTAGGATTGCGTGGTGCCACGTAGGCTTATTATAATATTTTTATGTGCTATTAACATAATTTACATCAATTGGATTTGGTAAATACGTGTATAAGTCTTATGGTAAGTAATTTGGGGTCCAAGGAAAGGCCTAAGTCTAAGAAAAATTGGAAAAGTTCATAATAGGCTAAAACTCCAAATGAGCTTGCACTAGTCCATTCTTTGAACGAGCATATATAAATATGTATAATGTTTTATGTGATGGATAACCTATCATATGAAAGGTCTTTGAGTCTAGTTTCCAATGCTTCAAACCGTTCGTCATTTGGACATTCCTACACAAAGTTATGATCAAATTACCAAAGGCTGGAAAAATGCGATCCTGTGTCAGATATGTGATCGCAAAAATCATTATGCGGTCCGCATACTTGATTTGCGATCGCAAATCAGGTCGCAAACTGGACCTGTGTAGCCCAGTTTTGGACACCGAGCTTTGCGACGCGTTTGTGGCCAGCATACCCATTCTGCGGTCCATTATGCGATCGCAGACCCGCATTCGGAGGGTAAATCTTTCTATTTTTATAACCCGACCCCATTTTCATATATAGTCTTTGGGGCTTCATTTGGGGTCATTTTTCCACTGATTTTAGAGAGAGTTGAGAGAATTTTAGAGAGAGAAGGAGGAACCCAACATTCATTCATCCAATCTTGCATCAATCTTCTAGAATCAAAGAACCCAATCACAAGTTCTTCATCTAAGAGGTAAGATTCTATACATTAGGCTTCAATTTCGAGTTTGGGGTATAAGATGGGGTGTTGAGGTATTCTTGGGTGTAATACTATTATGTATACATGCATGTACAAAGTATGTTTGTGGAATGATTGTTGAACATAAATAAGCAAAGATTGGGTTGGGGAATGAAGGAAACCTTGAGAAAAAGAGATTTGAAATTAAGATGCTTAACTAGTATTTGATAAAATGCTCAAATGAGCTGAAATCATGAATACCTTTCTAATTTGTGTTCAATTTTGTTATGTCTCAAAGTATATTGGAATTGCTAGAATTTCCGGAACATTGTAGTAACTTAAGGAAAGCTTAAACGAGGTATGTATGGCTAACTTTAACTCTTGTAGAATCCCCTTGTTATGACGAGCATACAGTATGTGTACCTTGTATGAAAATATGTGTATTAATTGTCTTAGTTGATTTCCACACCACCAAGTTATATGTGATTGTGAGAAGTGATTTGATGTGCCTACCTTATTATGTGCAAAGTTTGTAAATGCTTGAGGATGCCGACATGGAAGTATGTGTTAACGAATGAAAGAATGTTAATGTGTCCAAATGTGGGAATGTGTATAATGACTAAAAACCTACGTGGTAAGTAATGAAAGAGGGTATTGTGAAATGACGTAAATAAGTTGAACGATTACGACAACACCTTGTACTTGAATTACTTCTTGGTGACAGTTATGGTTCCATGGGCCCAAATGTATGAATTGTTGATATGAACTTGTCTTTCCTTGAAATGATGGTTCTTGTGATGTATTGTTTGTTGTTGTTGTTGTGTGAAATGTGATTGTTCGGTGGGATTGGGTTGCGCGCCGTAACACAAAGTAATAAGGTGTGGGTTGTGGTGATAAGGGTGGTCGAGGTAATAAGGGTGGCCGAGGTAATAAGGGTGGAAAAGAGACCGTAGTCACTATTGAAATGAAAATATATAAAACTCTTGAATGTGGAAGTGTTGGAAAGGGAAAAAGGAGAGATTGTGAAACTTTTGATTTTGGTTGTTTCTTCCTACGTGCAATGCTTGTTGGTTCTATTACTGTCTCTTAGCTGTGTATTGTTTGATATTCTGGATGGCCTGAAGCCATGTGATTGAACTGTGAACTATTGTTGTTGTGTGATATGTGGTTGTTCGGTGGGATCAGGTTGCGCGCCACAACACGAAGTAATAAGGTATGGGTTGTGGTGATAAGGGTGGCCGAGGTAATAAGGGTGGCCGAGGTAATAAGGATCGAATGTGATCATTATCACTATTGAAATGAAAGTTTGTGAAATCATTGATATGATTAAATGATGTTGAAAGGGGAAAAGGAGAGATTGTGAAACTTGTTTGGCCTTTGTTGTTCCTTTCATGTGCATTGATTGTTGATTCTATTACTGTTCGTTATCTGTGTATTGATTGATTTTACTTGGGATAAAGTTTGTTCATACATACCAGTATAATTCAAATATACTAACGTCCCTTTTGCCGGGGGCGCTACATTCTTGTTATGATTGTAGGTGGTTCTATAGCAGGTACTCCAGTCCACCGACAGTAGCACCTCCCCCACTTTCCGTCAGCTGTATTGGTGAGCCCCTTTCCTCTAGGGGCCCTGTGTGGCTCATGTCGCTTTTCTTCCCGAAGTCTTATTTTGGTATTTGTGTAAGGTATAGCCGGAGCCTTATTGTCGGCATTTCCATATTATTCTTCAGTTGTATTTAGAGGCTCCGTAGACAGGTTGTGGGTAGTGTCGGGTATTAGGATTTAAAATAGAAATATTGATGATTGGCAATGATGTATAAAACTTGGAATACCTTTAAAATGGCGAATGAAGTTGCTAATGAAAATGAAATGGAAATCGTTAATGATATGTTTATAGAATTTGATTAATGGAGTCCATCTCCTATTTATTCATGAGTTAGTTTCGGTAGAATGAGACCTAAAAGGCTTGCTCGGTCAGGTTTACTTGGTTGAGCGTCGGTCGCGCTCCTCGGATTTTGGGGCGTGACAAGTCCAACACAACGTAATCCATTTGACCTTTCTAGCACCGATACACATCCCACATAATGTCTACGGAGCCTCTAAAGATACAAAAGATAGGTATGATAATGCCGGAAACAAGGCCCCGGCTATACCTCAAAACGTGGTAAAAACATGAACAAAAGATACAATACATGACCCCGGAATGGAATGGGGTTCACCGTGTTTTGGGTCTTTTTCTTGTTCTTTTTTTTATCTCCTTAGTGTTGTGCAGTGCTTGTGTGTGTGAGAGTGAGTGTGGGCGACTGAAATGCAGAGGGGGTTAGGGTTTAATACCTGGGGGTTCTGCGGTGGAAAAGTAGATCGAATAACACATTATGCGGTCGCATATGTGTTATGTGATGATTTATTAACTGCTTTGCTAAAACTCACTCCGCGATGCATTCTACGGTAGCATAATCGTTATGCGGGCCGCAGACATAGAAATCCCACTGCATATTTAAGGGCCAAAATTGCATTTTCTTCTGAGCGTGTCTGCGACCACTATGCGGTCCGCAAAGCCATTATGCGACCGCATAGTTTCCGCAGGCCACAGGTCCTTCTTACCTTCCTTCTTCTCAGTCCTTGCACCCTGTTTCATTGTTTTTTGAGCTACCTGCATTCTAACACACAGGTCAAACTGCTCAACACTAACAACTAAACCTACAGAAATTTAAATCTAACAAAAGAATGTTACCACACATGGGTTGCCTCCGAAGAAGCGTTTTATTTAATGTCACGGCACGACGATGTTGACCCCATTTGGGCTACTCAGTGGTGGGGGCTGCTGTAGGACTATCCTTGAGTGCGAATTATTCTACCAAGTGCCTTTCTCCTGTGGTTCCGAGGTGATGCTTGACCCGTTGGCCATTTACTTTGAAAGTTCGAGTCCCGTCCTCCAACTCCAATTCAATAGCGCCATAAGGGGACACATTCACAACTTTGAACTGACCAGACCATTTGGATTTGAGTTTTCCCGGAAATAACTTGAGTCTTGAGTTGAAGAGTAAGACCAAGTCACCAGATTTGAACTCCCGTTTCAAAATCTTCTTGTCATGAACAAACTTCATTCTTTCCTTATACAAGGGTGCACTCTCATAGGCATGGAGACAGAATTATTCCACTTCATTGCGTTGTGTCATTCTTAGGTTACTAGCTTTGGCCCAATCAAGATTCAACTTTTTCAATGCCCACATGACTTTGTGTTCAAGCTCCATTGGCAAGTGACATGCCTTACCAAAAACCAACTGGTATAGTGAGGTGCCACTGGGAGTCTTAAATGATGTGCGATACGCCCACAATGCATCATCTAGCTTCCTTGACCAGTCAGTCTTGTTTGCATTGACATTTTTTGCTAGGACGTTTTTGATCTCCCTGTTGGGCACTTTAACCTGCTCGCTCGACTGAGGATGATAAGGGGTGGCCACCTTGTGCTTGACTCTGTACTTTTCGAGCAGCCCGGTGAAGGCCTTGTTGCAAAAGTGAGAACCACCATCACTAAGGATAGCCCTGGGGGTACCAAAAACTGCGTAAATATGTTCTTCTTCAAGAAGTCGGTCACACTCTTTGCCTCATTATTGGGCAAGGTGATTGCCTCAACCCATTTGGAGACATAGTCCACAGCCACCAAGATGTATGTCATGCCATAAGAGCTCACAAAGGGACCCATGAAGTCTATCCCCCACACATCAAAGATCTCGACCTCCATTACAAAGTTCATAGGTATCTCTTGTTTTCTAGAAATTTACCCTTGTCGTTGACATTGATCACATATCTTGACTATCTGATTTGCGTCTTGGTATATCAATGGCCAATAGTAGCCACATTCAAGCACTTTTGTCGCAGTACAGTTTCCACCATGATGGCCCCCAACTGGGGAGTCATGACATGCTTTGAGAATTTGCACTACCTCATCTTCTGGAACACAACGCCGAATGATGTTGTCGGCACAAATACGGAACAGAAAGGGTTCCTCCCAATAGTATAACCTAACTCCTGCAAGAAATTTTTCTTTTGATAAGCTTCCAATCGGTCGGGAATAAGGTGACTAACCAAGAAGTTAGCGATATCGGCATACCAAGGAGCGAAGGTTCTGGAAAGGCATCATTAATTTCAAGATCTTCTTTTGGTCTCTCTACCTCTTCAAGCCTAGATAGGTGATCCGCAACTTGATTCTCTGTCCATTTCTGATCTTTGACTTGAAAGTCAAACTCTTGTAACATAAGAACCCACCTAATCAATCTTGGTATAGCATCCTTCTTCCCTATAAGATAGCGGAGAGCAGCATGATCACTGTAAAATATCACTTTGGACCCCAACAAATAGGCCCGGAATTTTTCAAAAGCATAGGCAATGGCAAGCAGTTCTTGCTCAGCCACAATGTAATTCATTTGTGCGCCATTGAGTGTCTTGCTTGCATAGTAGACAAGATGAAGGATCTTGTTATGCCATTGACCAAGTACCGCCTTAATAGCTATACCACTAGCGTCACACATGAGTTCAAATGGAAGGGTCCAATCAAGTGTGACAGTAATAGGTGCCGTGGTGAGCCTTGCCTTCAATTCCTCAAAAGCTTTGAGACACTTCTCATCAAATTCAAACTTTGCATCTTTTTCAAGGAGTTTGCACATTGGATTTTCAATTTTTGGGAAGTCCCTGATAAAACGCCTATAAAAATCGGCATGCCCCAAAAAACTTCGGACACCTTTTACCGAAGTGGGAGGATGAAGCTTGGAAATGATTTCGATCGTTTGCCCGATCAAACTCTATGCCTTCCTTGGAAACTTTGCGGCCCATAACAATGCCCTCGTCCACCATGAAGTGGCACTTTTCCCAATTTAGCACAAGGTTGGTTTCCTTACATTTTTTAAGCACTTGTCTAAGGTTGTCAAGGCAATGCTCAAAGAAGTCACCAACTACAAAGAAATAATCCATAAACACCTCTACGGAATCCTCCACCATGTCCAAGAAGATTGACATCATGCACCGTTGAAAGGTAGTCGGGGCATTGAATAGCCCAAATGGCATACGACTAAAGGGAAAGGTCCCATACAGGCATGTGAATAACCATCCAAGAAGTAATAGAATGACCTTACCGCTAGCCGATCAAGCATTTGATCAATAAAAGGCATAGGGAAATGGTCCTTGCAAGTAGAACTATTGAGCTTTCGGTAGTCCATGCAAACTCTCCACCCGGTCACCGTCCTCGTTGGGATGAGCTCATTTTTGTCGTTTTGAATCACGGTCATGCCTCCTTTCTTTGGCACACATTGCACCGGACTCACCCAGGGGCTATCGGCAATGGGGTAGACTACCCCGGCATCTAACCATTTTATGATTTCTTTCTTCACCACCTCTTGCATGGAAGGGTTTAACCTTCTTTGATGCTCCACGCTAGGTTTGCTCTCTTGCTCCAATTGTATCTTATGCTTACAAATTCCAGTGGGGACCCCTCGGATGTCCGCTATTGTCCACCAAATGGCCTGTCTGTGCTCCCTCAAGATATTCAACAACTGTTAAACTTGTACATCATTCAACAAAGAAGAAATGATTATAAGTAGAGTTTAATTAGAGCCAATGAATTTATACCATAAGTGTTGTGGAAGTGGTTTGAGCTCAAGTTGTGGAGGCTCAATAATTGAAGGCATAGCGGGAGGAGTGACTATATTCTCTAAGTCAAGAGAAAGAGTCTTTGGTGCATAAGGGTAGGACCTAAGCCCTTCTAATGCATTTACCGATTCCATGTATCCCTCCATGTCTTCATCATCATAAATTACAAAAATAGCCGCCAATGCCTCACCAAGGCATTCTTCTTCCATCTTCAACTCGATTGCATCCTTTACCTCATCAACAATATCAATGTCTGAGATGTTTTCATATGCATGTGGAAATTTCATACCCTTACTTGCTTCAAAGGTAACCTCTTCGTCATTTACTCGGATCTGGATCTCATTTCGTTCCGAATACATGAGTGCTCTTCCGGTAGCAAGGAATGGTCTCCCCAAGATGATAGGTATTTCTTTATCAACATCATAATCGAGGATAACAAAGTCCGCAGGGAGGAGGAACTTCCCTACTTTCACAAGGATATCATCAACAATTGCCACCGGTCTCTTTATTGAACAGTCGGCCATTTGCAACCTCATACTTGTAGGCCTAGGAAAACCTAACCCCGCTTGCTTGTAAATAAAAAGAGGCATTATGTTGATGCTAGCCCCATTATCACAAAGGGCTCATGCAAAATCGCGCAACCCAATAGTGCATGGAATGGGGTCCTCTTTCTTTTGGACCGTGGTTGTTGCAATTATGGAACTAACCCAGTAAGTCAGATTCACCACTTCATTCTTGGTGGTTCTCTTTTTAGTGATTAAGTCCTTCAGGTACATAGCAAAACCGGGCATCTCTTGAAATTCTTCCACAAATGGAATGTTTACCGACAACTGCTTGAGAATGTCATAGAACTTTTCGAGTTTGCTCTCATCAACCCTCCTAGCAAGTCTTTGAGGGAAAGGAGGCGAAGGCCTAGGATTTGGTGCTAGAGTTTTTGGTGCCTCTATTACCTTTTCCTTAACCTCCTCATGGTTCACTTATTGAGTTCTCACCTTCTTCAAGAGTCTTTCAACTTCAACAACAATTGACTCCTCAACTTGTGCCTTGACTTCTTGTTCGGAATCTTCCAGTTCAACCACTTGTTCATTCTCTCCTTGAAGTAGTTTCCCACTTCGAGTTGTGATTTCCATACAATACGAGGTTGGGCCACTCCCACTACCTTTTGGGTTTGCAAATGTATCACTTGGAATGTGCCTTTTTGCTTCGGATTTTGCTCTCAAGAGAGATCTCTCATTTGCATCTCCAACTTTTGAATAGATGTGGTATGAGAGTCCACAAGCTCGTTCATGTTGTTTACTGAAGTGCCGAATCTTTCTTGATTTTGCAATACTCGTTCAAGCATGTTTTCCAACTTGGACTCACTTGAAGAACTTTCTTTCCAATGTGGAGAGTTTGAATATTGCCCCTTTGGTGGAACATCGGGGTTGGAACACCGATTTGAAAAATTATTGTTGTTGTTACTCCAATTTCCTTGATTTGAACTACCTTGGTCATTTCACAACTGTTGGTTGCCTTGCCCTTGCGTGTTAGGCCTCCATTGGTTTTGCTATCCTGAACCTTGGCTGGGTTGCCTTTGATAACCTCCTTGAGAGTTGTTGACATAATTTGCTTCCTCGTAGTCCTCATTTGACATGGGTTGAACATCTTCCACCACATTCACCTTTTTTGTTTGTCTTTCAATTAATTTCATCAACACATTGACATTGGTGGCAATCCCAGCAAATACTTGATCTCTTTCTTGGTTCTCCTTAATCATGTTGGTCAAGGAAGGAGTACCATATGCAATTCTACCCGTGGTGTCCTCTGAGTGCCAAGCTTGGTTATGTTTTGCCATTTTGTCAAGGATTTGCATGATCCTTGCAAATGTTTTATCCATAAAAGATCCATCAGTTGCATTTTTCGCTATGGATTGATTCATAGGATCCAAGTCCATGTAAAATTCTTCCAACAAGATAGTATCTGGAAAACCATGATTCGGTGACCTCGCTAAATATAGCTTGAATCAATCCCATGCCTCATGTCGATGCTCTCCCGGTAATTTCTTGAAGAAGAAAATTTTATCCCGTAGCTCAGACTTCTTGCTCTGCGGAAACTATTTTGCTAGGAAATCTCGTACAAGCTCGGCCAAGTATGAATGGAATTAGGCGGTAGATTTTGAATCCATTGTCTTGCCTTTTCATTTAGAGGGTACTTGAACACCCTCAACATTATGGCATAATCTGAAACGCAATTCTGCTTGTGCATCGCGCACACACCCAAGAAATTTCAGAGATGTTGTGTCGGATCATCATCTGTGCAATTTCGGGAAAACCCTCTACCTTGAGCATTAGAATTAGACTTTTTTCCACCTTAAAGGTAGCAACATCAACTCTTTGAGGGACAATGGCATTTGTATCCTCAATACACTCATCTATATCCGCAAAGATATTCTCTTCTTCCGGCTCGCCCATGTTTACCTAGTGACACCAAGCAAAGCAAGCAAAGTGTGATGGAATAGAAGAAGACGTAAAGTAAAGCACACACTAATTAGTAATTTCAAAACCGTATTCCCCAGAAACGGCACGAAAATTTGATACGCTCAAATTACACCTAAATAAATGGTGTAAGGCGGTCGATGTCAAATATAATAACCCAACTAGGTTGGGGTCGAATTCTACAGGGAATAGGTGTAAAAAGGTTACTTGAATAGTGTGAAACTTGACTTAAGTCGTACTTTTACTCCGTTAGATTAAAGGAGAATGTTGTAATTATGTGTAATAAAGAAAACTATTGTGTTGTGAGAATGTAATTAATTTGATTAAGGAAACCAAGGTTGTGTCCCCATCAATGGAATAAAATGCTATCGGTGTTAGTATGATATATTTCTAATGGAAGGTCCTTTGATATGTAAATGGTTTCTAAGTGGCTACCCAATATTTCCCAATAGATGGGTAGTATTTTCTCTTTATAATTTTTTCAAATATAAAAGAGTTGCAATTAAGAATAACCAATTTATGCCAAGCAGAACCCACTTATTCCTAAGCGATTCTATTAAACAAGGTTTAAAGCATTGAGTTTTTGACATTCAATCCTACCAAACCCTAACCCACTTTTCCAAGTAAAGATAGAGTAAAATGGAATTAGTCAATGTTTGAAACCAACAATAAATGAAGCATAAGAAATGATTAAATATCAACCAACCATTATATATATATATATATATATATATATATATATTCAATGGTAAACACCCATTAATATTATACTCATTTAGGGTCCACAACCTTAGTATTTAAAACTAGCTACTCATACTTGAATCCAAGAACAAAGCAATAAATAAAGTCATAAAGCTTACAAAGATACCAGATTCTCTATTCAAAAGCTTCCAAAATAATGGTATATTCAATGCCTTCAATGTAGCCTCTTTTTCAGACAAGATGTCCCACAAAAACCCTAGTAAATCTATTTATAATGGGCTAAAAGTCGGGGTCAAATTTAGACAAAAATGCCCCTGCAGATCACATCTGTGACCGCAGAATGGGTCGCAGATCATGTATGCGGTCCGCAGGAATACAAAGTCATCGCATAATTGTGTTACACCCCATGTTTTCGTATGTGGAAGTATGCCATAAATAAATTGATGAAAGCTCGGAAATGAGATGTTACCTCCCGCATTTTTTTTACGTTAAAGTTTCATCGTAAGTTAATCGACGTAAGGTAGAGAATGAGATTATTTTTGGGATTATAATTTTATGCTATTTCAAACAAGTGATGAGTAAATTTGTGAAGGTGAGAGGGTAAGCAAATCAAAGAAAATGAATTTTCATCAAAGTTTGACATTTTGGGATAAAACACGGCCCGAGTTAAAATACCCGATATTTATGGACCCGTACCATATAGGGTACCCCATGACCATGATAGTAAGGTGTATAAAGTATGTTAAAAGTGAGTAGTATTTTAAGTAATTGGAGATAATTCTTAATTATATGACTAATTGGTTAATGAGGGAATTAAGGATTTGTGGGTGATTAATTAAAGACTTGGGCTAACGTGGCAGCACCCCCTTTACCCCTTTGATAACTCTTAAATAAGATTAGGAGGTGGCATATTTATAGGATTTATGTGACACCAAGCACATAAGAAACGTTATCCAAGAGTTTCTTATCCAAATCACATAAGAAACGTCATTTTGAGTCAATAATAAGCAAATTATTTCTTCTACTTTCTTCTCCACCATATCCTTCCTCTTTAAGCACTTGATCACCACTAGCCAAACACATTCCAAAACATGTATTGTAGGCATTTTTCAGATCCAGAGAACTCATTAATCAAGAATCCTTCAAATGGATACTTAAACAATGATATATAGTGCATTATAATCCCATAAGTTGGAATATCATTCTGTGACACAAAGTATCCAGAGAACAAAGCACGTGATCCCATCATACCACAAACCAATGAGTTTCCAATAATGAAGTTTGGGATTAAGGCACTACAACAAACAATAACTGAGTTTGCTGTGTAGAGAATGAGCCAAATGAGGAGCAAAAAAATGCATGAATGCCATAAACTATTTATTTAGACCAACCAACCAGTATAATCGAACTGAGAATATCAATGCAAGAATGAGCAGAAATGGCAAGTAAACAATGCCATTTGCTATTGCATAGGAGGAAACTCTATAGATGGAAAGGCTTCGGCCAAGATTTTTCTTTGCATAAGCAACGTGGTTGCGTTGAGCTTTTCATACTACTTGTTCCATATTTTGTCGCAATTAATGTGTGTTGGAGGGATTGTCAAGAGGATCGGCTCAGGTATGTTAAGGTTATCCCTTCTTTCTTTTTAGCATGATTTATACGACACAAGCGAAACGAACAAATGCACAACTTCCATAAATTACTCTATTCGTAGAAATGCTAGAGATGTGTATATTCTTATTCTCCTATGTGTCATATTATTCTATCATCTGTTCATGGGTCTCAAAAATACGTAAGTTGGTAAAGTTTATTTCATGATATTAATCAGAGGCATAATGGTCTTATGACGTACTGAGAGATTTTATTAACGTATTATTTCATATGCATTCATGCATTTATACATGCACATTGACCCATGACCAGATGGCGTTATATACGCGTATATATATGTATATATATGTATATGGGATATGGGAAAGGTTATGGCGTTATATACGCACCACCACCTGATCAACTGGTATACGTTGATGATTTTGCCCACAGTGGCCGAGATGATATGATGGGATGCCCTCAGAGGCCTGATGTTGTTATGAAACATGTACCTATGCACGACACGACATTCATATGCATATGCATGACACTATAATTATTTCATGATTTACAGAGTTATCCAGACTTACAGGTTGAGTCATTTACTCTATATTTCTTCCATATCTATTATATACTTATTTATGTGCCCTACATACTCGGTACATTATTCGTACTGACGTCCTTTTTGCCTGGGGATGCTGTGTTTCATGCCCGCAAGTCCCGATACACAGGTCGAGAGCCCTCCAGGTAGGCTATCA